TATTGCTATAGCCTTGCAGTGTGACAATCATAGTATTAATAATTTTCTATTAAAAACTGAACCTATTTCACACATCATCAATTGATTACAGTAATAGAAGACTGTTCTGCCTACCTTAAAACACTATGAACTCACTTTTTCCTGGAATGAAAGAAAGTTCCCTCTTTCCACTAATCCTTTCAATTACAGACATAAAATTATGTTCTGTACAAACAATCATTAGACATCTATGTCACATTAATAACATATTCTCAACTCTTATCCTTTATAAAAGTTGCTCCTCAAAAGATGTTATATTTGGAGGATTGCTGTATAGTACTATGAAGAGGCATTAAACGAAACATCGATTTTATATCCTTCTTCTTTAGATCAGATATTTCTGATGTCTTCTTTTGTGTCTTTGGCTTTACTTCAAACACACGAAGTTGACTGAATGGTTGGATGAGAGAAGTCCTTAGTTTTTCTTACTGTATTTAATGCATGTAATATGCTCAGGACCTTGTGAGTGATGTAACTCACCTAACACAGGATATAACCGAATTTAACCTTTCATTGGTACCCTGGATCTGAGAAACCCATCACTATTATTCTTTTTTTTTTAGTGTAAATGGCAATTCACTTCCTTCATCTGTTGGTTTCATAGACAAGGTAAACAAGTTGTTTGAGAAGATTATTATTGTATATATCTTCATAGAAATACCCGTTTGTAGTGATTTTGGACACAAAACACACATGTTAGACACTGCGTATCAACTAGGTAAGTATATTTTGGCAGATAGAAGAACAGCATAAAGATCAGAGATTATCAAAAAGGGACTCTTTTTATTTATGTAAGGACAATAAAAGTAAATATTCCTGTGGAATTAAAAAAAAATTGTGTGTTTAAAGAAGCCACATTCCTGTGTCAAGAATATATCCAAAACATTTTTTATCAAGTACATTTTCGTTATATTTGCTATAATATTTACCAAAACACGTAAACAATTATTTGATTCCAGTTTCTAAATAGTTCAAATAATCATATTGCCTCAATTCCACAATTAAATCTATCTACAGAGAAAACCCAACTAGAAAAATGTTGGTTCTGCGAGACCCAGAGTACCAACGATGTAGGAATCAGGTACTGTACTGTAAGGGTTAAGACACATTACCTGAATGAACGGTATGGTCTTGAATTTGAGCAATTTTAATGTTACTGTGAAATCTTTGAAATCTTTCTCTAGCATCTGCATTACTCTCTAAGGATTCTGTCATTTTGTCGGTTCACTTGTTTCAGTAATCGTACTAATCGAAGAGGTGAATAAAAATATGCCTTAGCCACTGCTTTCTCTATTAGGCCATGTGCATTATCTACTTCCTGAACACATGAATGTCCTGCCAAACAATATTTTATTGTCACTGATGTGACATTTGGGTTTTCTCTTAAAAGTCCAACATAGCATATGACATGGAATTTTCATTCTGAAGAATGCATGGATATGACCAAGTTACTAATTCACTATAATAATTCTCCTCTATGAATACATTTAGTATTCTTTCCTCATTATATTATTTCCAGTACACCCTGCCATCACCTCAGGCTAAATGGCAGCCTAAAATTACATTATCAAGATCAAGAGCGGTACAGAATAAATACATTTTTAACATAGAGCAGAACATTATTAATAATATAAATGATATAATTTCATGCTCACTTTGCACTAAAATAACTTGAAATCTTGTGGCAGTTTGCAGTTAGAACCTTGTCAAAACAAAATTACTTTCAAAAACAGTTACCATGTACAACTATGTCATGCTGCTAAAGAACCCCAAGGATCTTCTGTTGAGGCCTTTTATTTTCCTTAGGGTCCTCTGTTGCTTAATGTGTCCTGTATTCCCAATTCATCCTAACCAGGTTTGTTTAAACCATCATGTGATTTTTGAAAAAACAAAAGAATAGGGCAATTTTGAATATGTTATCTCATAGAATACATTTAGCAGTAAAGCCACCAAAAGTTTTAAGAAAAAAATTGGAGCCATTTTTGAGAAAATCTTGTTTAAGTTATATTTTAAAATTGCATATATTGCACGCAATATTGCATGAAAATTACTAAAATTTTCAAAAAATGTACACGTTCTTAATTATGGAAAATACATTTTATATCAAGAAAAATCTATCTTCAATTTTGTAGTTGTAAGTCGTTGCAAACAATTCAAACTTTTGTAATTATCAAAAATTGAGACTTAACAGTGAAAATCAGACATACACCACCTTTATAAGTGCATTTTACTCTATTCTTCAAAGAAATTTAAAGAAACAATTTGGAGCCAGTTTTGAGAATTACTTGCCTTTTCTAGAGATACTATATGAATGTCCGACTGTGAATCATGCGCGATTGATCAACTACGATAGTTTTTATTTAAAATAATTTCGTCATATGTGTCATTTTATCAATTGTGTAGAATGATGTACGGTAAACTCAGCTCATGTAACAATATGATTTTATTCATTTTAATGATTATCCAAAAACTTTTTGCCTGAAAGTTTCATAACAAGTTAAAATGAATGGTTACTGAAAAGTTGGAGGGTGAAGATCTCCCATTTTTTCCCCCTTTGTATCCACGCCTGCTATTTCCCTTGCCTGAACTCCACAAATGGCCACTGTTTCTTTGAGAAACTTTTAATGTCTTGCAATGATAAGGAATATGGAAAAAACAATTTTCTTTTTTGAACCCACCACATAACAGCAAACTTTCTTTTTAGAAAAATTTATGCTTCTCTTTAGATATTTTTTTAATATCAATAAGAAGAGATACAAAATAGCTTATATTTTTTATACAATTTAATTATGGTATCACCGTTAATACTTGTAACATGAAATACATTATGTCCATCTCAATACCGTTCTCTTCATTTCTTTGCCCTTCTTCTTTCAAACAGTAAAACCCATCAACAGCCACTAATGTGATTGAGACATAGCTGCTTAAAAAAAAGTTTTATATTAGAGGAATGTTCAATTTTTCAAAAATATGTAAATTTTTTGTGAAATTTTGAATGAAACATGGATAGTTTTTAAACAATTATTTTTCAAAAATGGTTCCAAATTCTTTCTCAGTTACTCTTGGTCAACACTTTGACATGGAAAACTCGCATCGTTACAAAATGAAAAGAAGCTTAACTAAAAGAACGAAAATTGTCATGGCTCCTCAACAAAAGGTCACTGCTGTCTTTGTTCAACAAAGGGCTGTTATACAAAACTGTTATAAAATCTGCATGGATATACGGTATGGAATTATGAGGTTCTGCCAGTGAATCAAATACAGAGGCCACCTTCCCTAGAATCAAGCATTGAGATTCTCAGAAGTTTTGAAACAAAAATATTAAGGAAGTTATCCGGAGCACCATGGTTGAACCATGGTTAGTATCAAAACACTTTATAAGGACATCAACTATTGTGAACATCCTTACAAGGAGAAGCTAGGAATACTTGAAGACACTAAGCGAACACACAAACCATCTATCAATTAATCTACAGGACAACAGTGGGCACTTATATAGACTGGAGCGTCAATACATATTAGAACAGCCAAACCGCTACTTTAATCACTAATTAAATAAAACCACTCAAAATGTAAACATTATGTCTATATAATAATGTTATTTGTGTAAATTCAAACATTCACTAAATGTTCTTCAACAACAGATTATAGATTGTGTAGTTGTGAAATTAAAAAAAGAGATCTTTATATTTTTCCAGATATGTAGTCAAAAAAGTGGTTATTTTTTATATTTTTTTCATAAATAAAAGTTTGAAAAATCGAATTATTTTACTTCAGGCATTTTTAAAAGGAAATATCACTCACTTGATCTCAATCAGAAGTTCAATAGAAAAGTTTATAGAAAACATTATCGCAAAATTATAGATACTGTTGTTGATAAAACTATAGATGCTTTTCACTGCACATTTGAAAGTTGACAAACAGGAAATAAAATGACGAGGAAAGCGATGAAAGGAAGTGGTTCCGAGATAGCTATCTCCCAAGCAGTCGAGTCGCACACGAGTGAAAGGAATACAATACCTCCAATTCATGAACTCTTGCTCCTTCAAATCAAATGTTTGAATAAAATGAAGACGAAGTAATCGGAGATGAAGTCGGATTACTCGAAGTCGGACAAAACGAAGTAATCGGAGGAGACAACGTCGAAGAATGCTGATGATGAAATCGTATAATACGAAGAAATGTTCCTTTTTAGGTCGCATTTCCTTTCCCGGATTACTGCCAGGACCGGCGATACGAGTGAGTGGTTGACAATGACCCGGGCTGGGGTCCCCCCTCCCCCTCCATTTCTCGCCGAAATATTGTACGCGAAGAGAAAGATACAAAACAGACTTTTTCAAATTGTCTTATTATTAAATTGTCATCAATTGTGATCTCTTTGATTTATCATCAAATTTATTTTAGCAGAGTTTACTTCAGCAGAGTTCAGTTTTGCAATGCAAAAACAGTGCTGCACTTTCTATTTTTTATATAAACTCATTAAACAACATTTGTAAATCAATTTTGTCAGTTATGCTGCCATAAACATGTAAAATCGCAAAACTATTGAGCTAATCTTGGAACATAGTTGATCACGTACTTGAGTCAACTAAATACCGAGAAACTTCGCTCATTTCTGGAATTTGAAATGTATGGAATATTTCCCTCACCGCAAATTCCGAGTGGGTATTTTACCACTCGGAATTTTTCGTGTGGATGTAGCTACCCACCATACCCACATTTTCCGCCGGTCCTGGTTACTGCTACCTCCTTCATCCGGCTGTTCTTGAGGTACCATATAGAATATTTTGGGGAAAACACCGCGATAGATCTTCCCGTTTCATCTCTAGGAATCGCGCACAGATTTGAAACTTGGGATAACAATCTGTTCACTACACTAAAAGTAAGTAAATTATGTATCATAGTGTTATTGGATGGGTTCAATACTGAGCAATAAAACACCTGAAAAATCAGACCATAGATATTCATCTACATATTTTTTATTGTAACAATCATATTATAAATACATCTTCATTGTACTTCATTGTAGATTACTACACTGTTAACTGAAGAAAGTGTATCCATATGTGTTAACATACCGGGTACTGAAAAACAAGTGAGCATTTGTCTTTTCGATGTTCAGGCAAAAAATTATATTATATTATACATGATGCATGAGCTCTGGTCTGTACCCGCTGACGTAATGCTCAATTTTTTCTTCAATGTCTTTTCAATGTTACTTCAATGTTTTAATTGAATAACCAAATGGTGATGAAAGGGACACATCCAATTACCACCTCAAATAATTAATTATTATGATTTAGGAAAAACAACAACCTGAATATTTAACAGGAAACGCAACAAGTGTCAACGTTTACAATTGTCTCGTAGTTGACGGGTACAGACATCGTTCCTTATCTGGAAGCGATTGGCAGCTAACTGTTAGCAGTTGAAAGTTTGTTTATTTTTGTTATCCTTGCCTTCATTGTTATTTATTCTTGTGAAAAATTGGTCACGAAGACCTATTTCGGTGGATCTGTCAATGATATTTCGAGATTCATTTATCTTTTCGAAAAAACAAATGCGCAGCGTTTGAAATAATGATAATTCTCCCACCCTTGAAACTGAGATTCGAATTAATTTCAGATCAATCAAATCCAAAAGTGATTGATATTATTTGGAATTTGCTAAACTAATTCCCATTAATTTTCAGTTTTCTGTAAGTACTCGTTTTCCCACTTGAAAGTACTACCATGGTCGTCATTAGCATTATCATCGCAATCATCATCACATCGAAGACTGCACTGAGTTCAAGCTCACATCTAATGTAACGTGAACTGCCTATTTTCGCAGCTTTCTTCAGAGAAGTAGTTTGTCGTAACTCTATCGGCGTAGCCACAGCATGGCGAGATCTTGTGGACAATCACAAACCCACATACACTTGTACACACTGAAACTGAGATGTCGTATTTCAGTTCTGGTCTAATACTTGGAGGCTAACTGACATTTTGAAAAAACAAATGTCAAAGTGCATATACCAATTTTCTTCTCTACAAACTCTATGTAGGAGAAACACCAGAATGACTGAGGTTCAATCAATCGATGCAACTCTTGCAACATCGCGATCAGTAAAACCTGAACACGCCCTTTGAGAGTCACGGCCTAACACTTGGCTTGCTTCGTGTCGAAAGCAGGTTTCTTCAGAGCGGTAGTGTCGATTTCCTGATCCGCCAAGTCGAAGCTCGGGAAATACGGCGGGATCTCGTAGATGTGCACGTGCTCGTTGGCGCCGGCCGGCCACGCGGAGTGTGGAGTGGGCGTGGCGTACACGTTACGCGCGGCCGCGGGCGTCGCGTGGTAGAGCGAGTTGGCGCGGTTGCTGGCGGGGGCGGGCACCGGCGGGGCGGGCCACGACGGGGGCGGGCCCGCGGACATTGTGACCGCGGAGAGCGGGCCGCCGGTCGTTTTGGCCGGCGGCTGCGGAAAGGCGCCGGGCCCGCGGGGAGCGGTGCAATCGGGGCCCGATGGGTACCACGGCCAAGGCAGTTTCGGGGGGCGCACGGTGATGGAGTCGCGTGCCGAGGAGCCAGCGCCGGGCCACCTTCGCCTGAAGACCACCCACGCTCCGATCCCCATCAGCATAGCCCCCATCAGCGACAGGGACAGCGTCCACCAGGAGACGCCAGCCAGCTGCGACGACGACGATGACGACAGGCAGCCCTGCAAACACGTCACAATTATCGATCAACACAGGCCCTGATCCTAACATTTTTATGTAACATTTTCAATTGCGATTATTATCGACAATTATCTCTTATAATATACACATACTTATTTACGTCGAAAATAGTTAAAAACTGCGTGTGACGTGCAATGGGGAGAAGTTAATTTGAAGTTACATTTATGTCCAGAAGCAAAACAAGGGGCCATTTCAGCATTTGCTCGAGGATCAGGGAGACTGGACGAAAACCTGATCGAGATGGGAGCATTGACAAGAAGCTGAAATACAATACGTGTTACAGGTTCTTTACAATTATACAATCCAAATGATATATAATACATTAAATGTCGTTAAAATTAATATTACTTTCCTTTTGGATGATCGGTATAGTCTCTAAGTGTATAGAAACAGTTGTGCAGCAGAAAATATATTTGGGGCTTAAACTTTTGTATCGCATTTAATCGTTTAATGTCATCTGGGAAGGAGTTGTAAAATAATGTACATGTATTATATGTGAATTTACTAAACTATACTGTACTAAACTACGAGTATGTAATATTGTAAGTGGATTGATTTATAACTTTTGGCATTCTTTTTCTCCCCCTGCAAGCAAAGCACAATATGAAAAACCAACGATATACTACAAAAATGCAAGACTCAGCAGGTGACTCAAGCTCAGTGATGATGAATGAATGCACCTTCGATTTATTGACTGATTAGTGATTCGCGTGCGTCAACTGCTAAGGCTCTCCTACTTGTGTAACGCATGTTTTTCATTGCGGAAGGTGCCTGTCATCTTCCCCGCTGGATGGTAAGATCCGACGCCGACCTACGTCCCCGTCGCCCGTGTCGAGTGTCGAAGAGGGGGCCACAATAGCAGCTCTTTACGAGGACTGGGGATCGATACCATAAATGTAAATTGAATCAAAAATTAATCAAATGACTGAAAGTAAGTAATGTAGATAATATTTTAATTGTTTTAAATGAAAATATTATCAATTCAGTTGTTTGTATCATCCTATTCTTAAAAATAGGTGCAAAACCTTTTCATATATGGTTTCCTCCTGTAATACTTGTTTCTTGTTGCATTTTATGCACTAAAATCGAGTATGGGTGTGAAAATCGTCCGCCAAGTTCCAACGTTTTATTATTTGGCCTTACCGGGTACGAATGACGTGAATATCTTTGTTTATAGGGACATTTTTCATTTGTAAGTTGGAAATACGCAAACATGCTGTAACAGTTTCGGCAGTTAAGCTGTTCGTGCTTTTTTCGCGGTTCATTATTCGTCCATTGTACAGCTGTCTTCGTACATTGTACGTCTGAAGTTGGAATTGGAGAAATTATGTCGTCGGGTCAGTGCCCATTTCGCTGATACGATGTTATGTGTGTGGTCAGTTAATTGGGAAGCCGCAGAGCTGTTTAATAGTAAAATCACTCAAAACTGCATAGTATCATTATTATTATTATTACTATTATTATTATTATTTTATTTGTTTGTAATAATTACCTATTAAATAAATAAATAATAATTATTATTACTATTAAATACGCAATTGTTTCGCAAGCCACGAAAGTCTTTTTGTTAAAATTTAGAACGATTTCTCCTAGAAGGTGTCATGGTTTCCACGTCACACTGCCCAAAATATTAAACAGGACCCTTGTATTTGAATTCTACACAAGAAAAAAATGTTTTACATTTTTGTATATTCACATATATTTGATTTGACTGCGAGAAGTTCAATGCACAACACAGCATGAAATAAAATGACCTAAGGAATTGGACAATTTTTACGTTTATATGTGTCAAAATATACTACATTAAACTCAAATTGAATTGGAAATACTGAAAAAATAAACAATTGCATTTTACAATCTAAACGAAAGTGGTAGTCAGATTTCTAGAGGATTCCCCAGTCTCTCCTTTTGGCGATGTGATCGTCTGCTTTTGGTATGTGGTTAGATAAAAAAGTATTTCTGATACTCTTGCGGAAAAGCTTAAATAGTTCATGTAAGTGGGTGTAAGAAGAGAGAATAGAACAAGGAAGAGGAAGGAGAGATCGCGTGCGGTCCACGGTCCGTTTGATAGGGGAGTATTCCGGCATTCGCCTAGCATTGCTCAGAGAAATCTCGGAAAACTGTATATCGATGAGAACAGTCGGTAGCTAAAATTCTCTTCTAGAGAGCGACTCAATTGAAATGAAGGTAGTGCGGAAAATTACGTGACCGTTGGACTCTAAGAACCTCTCCTCATAATCAGTCGACCCTACAACCTCTCCTCATAATCAGTCGACCCTACAACCTCTCCTCATAATCAGTCGACCCTACAACCTCTCATCATAATAAGTCGACCCTAGAATCTTCTGGTCAGAATCGCTGAAGAAAGAAGGGCATTGCTGGCGCTGAGCTAACTCAACCCACTTCCTCAACATTCGCTACACTTACATAACTAATGATTATAGTAGTTGACGTGCCAGAAAATAATCAATCATGGTTAATGAATAACATTAATAACTCAATAACAACTCTCGTATAGAAATGACATCCTCAAGAGAATATCTGGGTAGTATGTGGAGGATAGGAAATAAGGGTTACAACAGATCTGTAGAGATCTATTAATTTAATTACTTGGTAATTAATTATAAAACCCTAAAAGTAGACAACGTTAGGGTTAGGCGACACTGTGCGCAACTACTCCAAGAGGTTCCCCCTTCCGAACCACGAAATAAACATCCGTTCTCGGACCCGCCTCATCCGCCATTGCCGCGTGTTGAGAGCAGCGAGGGCCGCTCCGTGGGGGAGGCAGCTTCCTCAGGGCAGAGTTTCGACCCAAGGGCGTCTGCCGCTCTGGCCAATGAGTTTTGCTCAGACGGAGGATAAAGCCCTAATCACGTCCCTGACTGTCAATTTTTTTTTCTTTCGCACTGTGGAGCATTGAAATGTGAGTTTCGGAGGTTTCAACGTTGGCCCGGGAGAATTTTCCGCCAAGAATGCAAGCACAAATACAAGTACAAGTACAAAACTGAACATGTTTGGGAAAGGAAGTAAGCTCGTTTGAAGGAGCGCGCGCGCGCGCGTGCGTGTGGGTGATATTTTATTTTATGAACAAGCATTTCCCAAAATCGTTAACGAAAGGAAGGTATTTGAAGTTTGAGATAGAATATTAAATTATGGCATTTCTGAGGTCAATGTCGGTTCCACGTTTGCTCCTCATGGTGTTAGTGAGCGCACCCGGTTAGACGTGTCTGCCTTTACTCGGCGCGACAACCTGCGTACGGGCCAGAGCCCACCAGCAGCGTCCCAACCTCGCGGCCATGGGTTACGGGGTTCGTGTTTTTAGCACATTGCCATCCCTACGCCATTTTCTGGTGTTCTCAACCTGAGATGTGAGTTTTATCATCGTCACAATATATACTGGGACATTGCAATGAAAACGCACGCTATAATCTTGCCCGACCGGAAATCGAACCCGGGGTCGCGTAATGGAAAGCGAGCACTCTGACGAGTGAGCTATACCGCCAGGGCAGTTTTGTGTACAGTATTAAATAAAGAAAATATATTGAACTATTTTTAAAATCGAGTACTTTTTACGTTTCCGAGTTGAATTATTTATCCAGAAGGATTACACTATTTATAATTAAATTGTTGAGACTTTTGTGAAAAGTAAACTTACATAGAATATATTTTTTTATAAAGTTCAGTATTTTTGTGAATATTTGTGCGTTAATATACAATTCGTAGTATCGAGTTTTCGAGATATTAATTTTTAGTATTTTAAAATACATTTTCTTTAACTTTATAAAGTCCCCTGCGAAATACTATCTGGAGCCGCTCTTTTCCGTGGATTTGTGGTTTTGCAGATTTAGTTGGCTTCTTGAAATGTAAAATACAGAGGACGCGCGAAAAGGGTTTTTTTGAATGTTTTAATCATTCGGATTTACCCACATCTCCATGAAAAGTATATGATAACATTGTCACGCATGGATCTTCCTGCCTCACGTATTGACAAATTCCACAACGCATTTGGTAGACATGGTCTAGGACAGGGGTGACCAAACTTAGGACCGGGGGCCAAGAAATAGCTTTCAAGACAATTTTACTGCCTCCAGACCAATCTAGGATCAGCTAATATGTCTTGGATGGCCATTTCTTGGCCGCCGAGCCGAAAGTTGGTTTCCCCTGTCCTTGGCCGTACTGTACCTATGCCATATGCGTTGTGGAAAATGTCAATACGTGAACACGTCAATGCAAGAAGCAGGAAGTTCTACGAGTGACAATCTTATCACATACTTTTTTCGAGAAATCAAGTTCAGAATCTGTTTATTTGGTAAAATGAAAAAAAATAATTAATAAGACAGAGTTGAATGAATTGTTACTGAAACTGTAAGAATCACAATTCAAATGTAGTAAGTTCCAACAGTAGCGACTCCTTGGGATTGGCAAAGTAGGCACTCTCTACCCTGATGACTAGATACTAGTGTAATAAGAAGAATGAATGACTCTAACAATTTTAATATCGTAAGTATTATTCATCTAGGAAAGTATAATGAACATTTCATTAGAGTAGCAGGAGCCATATTTCCATTTCAAGCGTTTTATAACTGTCCATGAGCCATACGATCTGTCCCGTCTATTCCTGCATAAACACGCGCCCGCTTGCCTTTCAGGGTAAACCTCGATTTATTTGCAGTGACATTTGACGTAAGTCAGATGTTACTGTGTCATCCAATCAGGAGCTTGGACGACACTATGGTGACGTTGAAGCTCCCGATTGGATGACACCGTAACAGCTGATTAAATGTCAAGTGCCGTGATATATAAATCGAAGTATAGACACACCCGGGCGTTGCTGCCTCCCTTCACACTGTACTCTTAGAAGAAGCCCTATAGTGAGCGTAGCTGAGTAGCACTGAATAATAATATACCTCCGTAAGTCTATGACAATAGCATTCTGTCACTATACTTGCGCATGCGCGTTGCGCACAGCCCAGTGAATTCGCTTGCTGCCTGCCCGCACGGGAGGCTCCGATTTCCATTCGTATGCAAGCCGCATAGCGCATGTCTTTACCGTTTTGTTGACGCGTTAACAAGCGGAGAAATTGATTGTTATTTAAGTTGTATTTAATTTTTTTCATTTTAAATGAGTATGCTGCGGATTGTTAGTGAAATGTAATTTTTTTTATATTTAAATCTAATTTTACGTTGATGTAATGACAGAAACAGTGAATGAATTACTTAGTATACCGTTTTCTCGTCTTAACGATGTAGAAAAGTGATAAATTTTGGACAATGGTCGACCTACTTCTATGTTGAGTTCGGTTGTACGTCGTGTTGGTTTTCTTTCATGTTCGAATGAAAATTCAATCCTTCTTAGTATGATTCCCATAAATGTAATAGGTAATGGTGTTAAAGGTTTATTGTTGGCCATGTCTTCTTTGTCAATTAAGGAGAGTACATAGAATAGATGTGGATATTTTGAGATGAAAAATGTATCACAAGCAAACATGAAATATCAAAAGATCATTCATGTAATTCAGTGAATCTTAAACGCCTGAAAAATCCGACTTCTGAATTATTGTCAGAGCAACAAACTCGCAACACATTTTTTTTAGAATCAGAATATCTTGAAATCGCGTCTACTCGTACTTCATTGCTGTTTTGGAATATAATGATATCAGTGAGACAATTGATTTGAATAAATTGAATAAAATTACAAAAAACATGGGAGTGGGGAGTGGTTAGGCCCCCCTGCCCCCTGCCCGGGATCCGCCGCAATTCAGTCATCTGTTTTGCCTACCCTGAACATTTGTTCATGAGCCGTCATGGTGTTTCAGTCGGTTGAAAAAAAAAGGAAAAGAAGTCCCTATTATCTAGTAAGAAAGGTTTACTTATTCTGAAATCTTGACTGTTGAATAAAAAACGATTGAAGTGCATTAGGTCCTATGCTAATTCTTTAGTGTAAATGAATTTAACATTCATCACAAAACTAGCCCGTTAATACAGAAAATCAAAATTAAAATTATAATTAAATGGACTTCTAATTAGACGTGATCGAAAAATTTCTTACCTGGCCATTTATCCCCTCTGAACACGGAGATCTAGTTGCGTACAGTTTACGCCAATCCACAGGCACGATCCAAACATTTCTTTTAGGTGGCGGTGTTGTCTTGGTCCAAACCTTTTGGCCCAATTTTTTCGCCTTTTCCCATAAGGTTTTTGTTCCTTCGATAAAACCATTAGATTTCGTTGGTTTGGGTGTTGTTAGCACTCGAATAGTAGTTCCGTTTTCAGAACCATTGTTCACTTTTTTAGAAAACCCTTTCGGAAGCAATAAGACATAAAAAGGCGATTTTGTGGTAGTCGGCGGGTTTGTGGTGGTCGTCCCTTGTCCGAAGCCAAGCAAGTTTTTGGCTCCGTTTAGTACCTTACCGACCTTATTCACGGCTCCAGAAACGTTAAAACTTCCGATGGAAAGGGGTGATGCAAGAGTTTGCGAGTTTGGCTGTAAAACAAACAAAATATATCCGAGAATCAAACACGTAACGTACCGCGTCGCCATGGTGTTGGCAACCGACTCGGACGTTGCTCATGCGGGCGAGTTTGCGATGTGGTGGGGAGACGGCTGCCGGGCTTTGTGGCCGTCGGGTCGGTGAGTAGGCGGGAGGGGGGCGGGAGGGGGGACGCGCAGGGAGAAGGGAGTCGTCGAGCAGTTCCGGTGCAGCGTTTGCAACGTCGGCAGTTTGCATGTCCAAGTGCAGGCATCTCGTCTGTTTAGAGAACGAGGCTCCAAAGGTTGAGAAGATAATATGCCCTAGAAAATTATGCGCTGTAAAATTATACGCCCCACGTTTCTGGAGACATAGTGTAAATAGAACCTAGTGTGAATGTGCGTGTGAATGAAAAAAAAATCCAAGAAAACTAAAAATAATAAACACGTAGTAAAATACAAAGTCTTGTGCTAATCTTAGATTGCCGGCCCAAGTGCCGACTTCATCCATAGGTTAAGTTAGAAATAAGTAGTAAGTAAGCACTGTCCCCTTCTTTGCCGCATAAACCGAAGACCTGCGGCGTATGTACCCCAACACGAAAATAAACTCCCGCCTCGCCAGGGCTACTGGCGGGGGGAAAGTTGAAAATTCTGGGGACAAGCGTCCGATACAGGAGGATTTTTCCAAGATTGCGCGTTTTCACATTTAACGACACGACAGCCGTGATAACGATGCCGGTGGACGGTTAATTTCTTGTAAATAAATGAGAACACTTTCACACTCGCTGATATACAGGAACAGTGTCGTTACACGTAACATCGGCGAGTAGCAGTCACTCCACTACATACAACCTCCTTTATTTATACAAAGTACTTGGGTGCGAATTGGAAATTCATCTAAAGCAGAGAGGTAGTAGCACCTAAAGTCGCTCCGAAATAAAAGAAACAAGTGAACAGAGGTCATCAGGGCCGTTCAAACTAGGTAATCGCCAATGCCAAAAACTTCCGGGGGAGGAGCGCAATTTTGGTACATTTTTTGTATTTTGGTTTATTGGTGCTATTCATATTAGTAATAAAATAATTATTCATTTTGTAAGAAGGAAGCTTCTATATGCGTAATTTATAAACTCATTTTACCTCCAAATCCAGTATTAAAGTCAGATTTCTTTCTCAGCGTACATTCTCAATCGAATTGCGTTATCGATGAATGTTTTCCGCAATACTTCATTCAAACGTATGTCTTTAAATGATGCCATGCACTTGAAGAAATACCAGAGTGCAGTGCAGTAACAGTAAATGCGCTAAATGAAATAATGTAAAAAAGTATGAATGTTTTTTCGAAAGGAAAAGCGGAAGATAAAAGTTTATTTCAAAATTTCGAAGAATTGACGGAGAAATTATAGTTCTTAATTCAAATGAGAAAGATCAAAGAGTTTAATTAAGATTTAATTTTTACTTTTATATTTAAGCTACAATTAAGTTAAGATGGAGAATAATTAGTAATTAAGAATAATAGACTAAGTATTATATAAGATAAAGTTCTTCCTCTAACTAGAAGCGCCAGAAGGCAGGAGCTTTTCTTCGAATCACTATCAAATTTGAAGCTACCTATTGGATAGTGTCCCCTCTCCTAACTAATGAAATATGGGAAAATTTTAATTGAATAAAAAAACTGTTGTCTCATAGACAAACTCCCGCCTCCTCAGTAATCCTGCACGGAAAATATAAATAGACTCAACTCTGGCCAATGGATACCGCTTTGGACACCCCTTCCGCGTTCAGTGACGCCGTTCTTCACCTTTTCAGGAAAAACTAACTTTACCTGCTCCTGCCTCGCTCCCGCCCCAGACAATAGGGCTTAAACAACCTTCGCTACCCTCAACCTGCACACGGTCTCCCACCAGGATTGCCAACCGGCATGGGGCAGACCGGCTTGGATGGCTCAGGACATTAATTGGTGTCCCTGCAGAACCTCTGACCGGGAGGTCCAAGGGTTCGAGTTCCAACGGTTTTCGACACCAACTACATAGCTAAGTCGCATTCAGACACTGTCTGAATGAGAATTCTTGCGGCCGGCAGCTCTGATCGGGAGTTTTCTGTGGTTCCTCCGATCAATAACAGGCCAATGCCGGAGCCGTACCCTACCAAATGGGCCACGGACCGTGCGCGATCTTTCCTTCCCCTTCCTCGTCCTATCCTCACACTTAACGCACGCACGCATGCACGCACAACCACAAATGCCGGGAGACCGATCGGGAGCTTAGAGATCGTCCCGGCTGGGGCGGTGCCCCGCTGGTGGGAGATACCTGGTTGGGGTAAACCACTTAAGTCGACGGTAGGTCGGCGCCGGATCTCGCCATCCAGTGAGGGAATATCACCGCCACCACCCGCGCTAAAATGCACCACACTTACAAGACTAATGACCTTAGCAGTTGCACCCGGAAACACAAATCAATCACATCTGTTTAACCATAATTTCACATATTCAACGTAAACTACATTTTTTAATGTTTATGAATTCTTTTCTCGCGCGCAAGGCCCCCAACGAAACAGAGCTCTAAGAAACTACCTATTTTGTTTGCAGGTACTGCACATTCAACCCAGAGAACACGTAATTTCTGTCCACTGCGGGGCTCGAACCGTGAGACCTCCCCGTGAGAGACATTACTGTGATAATTGGTGCCCTAAGCCATCTAAGCCAGTATGTTAGGACGAATTTACTTCATTATAAGCATACACTGCCCTTAAGTGATTTCCCAACATTTTAATGATCGCTTTTATAATGGAGTTTTTATTGTTATAAAATTACTTCTAACCAATTCACATCATGATTACATTTCGGCAACATTGGATTGCATACCATCTTCACGTACTGTGACGTACATCAAAAATAATTACTGGATAACAATTTTAAAAAAATATTCACAGTTCTACGAAATAATTTAGAAAATTGTTAAATGGCTGAATACATTAATAGAGATAGAACACTATTACATATTTCTTAAGTAACTATCGGTCGATATTTAATAAATAATTTGGTTTGGTTTATCCGCATTTTCGAATTTACTTTTTAGCAATTGCTTAGGGGCTCCCCCTCCCCTTCAAGTAGGTTTGTATCCACAACAATTGTCACTCTACGAACTAACAAAATCTTATTTAAGAATTAAATTTTAAAATGAATATTTGATGTGAAATTAGTGTAATGTTTAGTCTGGACTTCACACATATTTGAGTTCAATTATATCGAAATGGACTTTAGAACGATCGTCCGGTAAACTGTTACTGTTAAATTATTTGCATACGACAATGTCCCAGGAAATGTTAGCAGACTTAATAATCACTAGTGTGAAGTATCATAAGCTGCTAATTCCTGCGATTTAGGATAGAAAAAATGACTTAAGATTAGTCACAAGAAGCTAAACATACTGTTTGAATTCAAATTGACAACCACCGTCTACAAATTTTGCAGACCAATTAAAACTACTAAATGTTTAATTCTATTAAACATTTGTTAATTTTAATTTGTATTTGTTGAAAAAAATACGTTATGTCTTAATTAGTAGTTTTTAATAAATGATTTTTTTTCAGTGAGGGACATGCCATCACGATTTTGTACGTTGTGATCTCGCAGTGCCGAAACACGGCCCTGCTGATAAGACTTACTCGACTGCAGTTATCTTGAAGGATGTAGTTCATGTTAGCTTAATGTCTTGTAAATTTCTCAGCGATTTAATAATTTCATTTAAATGTTTTATTTTAACTTTGATTAACGAAGGTAGATTTAAAAGAAAGTATTGCACTAAAATTTGAGGAAATAAGGGCATGAGGAAACTGCAATTTCAAGGTTTCCTAGATTGAGGCAAATGAAAGAACAATTCAGGGCTGTTTAATGAAGAAAAAGAAATACATTTAAAACAAATTTTATTTACAAATAGTACAAATATACGTGGCAAATAATTAACACAAAATGTTTGATACACATTTTCTGAATTACATTCCAAAATTTAGTTTTTAATGGAAGTCTAGGTTGAAAGCTGAACCTGCAAACAAGAGAAATTGTACATTGTTTATAATTACACACAAAAAAACATTCCATACAAAACACGTAATGCAGTTATGTTTTCGTGACCACTTAATTCGAAATCTGTTTGTTATTTTTTTCTCAAAAATACGGAAGCGATACTTTAAATACTTTATTTCATTCCATTTTATTCTCCATTCAATTTAAATATCTTCCAGTTCAGAAAACTTGCTACTTGCCACTAAACGGTTCTTATAAAATTTTATTATTTATCAAAAATGGTCTTCCCATTACGAAAAAATGTATGATGATCAAAAATATTCAACTATACCTTAAGATTCTTTAAACTCAGAAATTGACTACTTTTCTAAAATTTGAAAAGAGATCCATTCCTCTTAGGCACCTTTTTTTGAGACTAATTGAAAAGACTTCTCTCCCATCCTCAAAATCACTTTGTACCTTTCCCTAGTCGAAACGAGGAGAAATATTCACGTTTCCAGCGATACTGATAGTTCGTAAAGATAACCATCTTTTCATTCCAGCGTAAGGAGCTAGTGATGCAGCGAGCAACTAAACAAAGAAGGCCTCTTCTAGAAATTCTGCCCCTCACATGAAATATTCTATTGACATGAAAATCAATTATTAATACAGCCACTACTACCCCCGCAAACCCGATAGTATATTTCTCTACTCGATACAAAACATAAGATTTCTTTGAGAAGCCTGTAAATTTCAGGAGAAATTTGCGAATTATTTTGGTTTCAGGAAGAATGTCAAAATTCAGTTTTTTAAATAGTCCCTGCTCAGAACATCAAACTCTTTTGGTGATCTGAAAAAAAACTTCCTTCAATGATCTCTCCCTGAAAATTTCTCTTTTCCTATCGACTAGTGAAGGTGAGTTTGTGCTAGTGAAATTCACTGTGGTAATTCTTGAGAGTAGTGATGTAGGCTCCGCACTCCATCCACTTGATTTGTCACTTTATCCTTGCGAGACAAACCGAATACAGTGCAAGGTTGTCTTAGATTCTGCGAGGATGAATGATCTGGAAGCAATGTTACTATTAGAGCATGTTCCCGACGCCAATTTAAATACATGGAAATGTGCTGTTTGGTACTATGCTTACTCTGCTTCGGGATCGTTCTTGAAGACTTCTGACTGTATGAATTCGAAGTTAAGTAATGGCAAAATGATGGCCTTCCCTGCCGCTTATCAACCTACAGTTACACCCTGGGCGTAATTCCTTTGCATCGAGAACATAGCCTTAATAAATGTCCAAAGACTCCACTGGCGGGCCTTGCTGCAAGCTAAAGCACTTAATAACAAATTCTAGCTTAATCCTATGTTTACTGAGTGGGATCAGTATGTCACACACCGTAAATTTTTTTTGAAGTTCTTGATGATCTTAAAATTTAATTTTGGCAGTTCACGTATTTGTCCGTTAAGCTTTTATTAGTAGTGGACTACATTTATCGGATTTTTTTTTACAAATTTTACGTACTAAATATCTCAAATTGTAGCCTCTGACAAAAAGCTTGTACCGGTAGTGCTTTACAGAAAACTTTACTCCCTATTTTAACTTTATCGTTAAAACGAAATATTTTAATAAATTTTAAAAAGGACAACGCAATCTTTAATGTATTCTACCCATTTAAAGATTTGAGATTCGAAGAGATATTCAAGTAAAAATGGCATTTAAAAATTAATGTAAACTCTGAATATATATTTATATTTTAAATTACCTTCATTACCTGCTCGGATGAACAATTAAATCCTCAATCTATCTCATATTATTATATTAATAACAATATTTAAAAAAATGGTATTTGATTATTAATTAAGGATCGATGAGGTATCCAGAGGTAAACAAATATTTATTTTGAAACAAAGTATTGGGTCAAATTGTATCCAGTCAGTAAATCTTGGAAAAAACATTAGCTTAGGAAAGAAAAGGTTAAACTTGAATGGCATTTCAGAGCGCCTCAATGCAAGATCCTAAATTGCCTTGACAGTCCAGCGTGAAAGTAGAGCAAACTTCGTGCCTATCGCCAGATTCAGTTAAGTTATAAATATGTAAGTACCTGCGAGCCCGTCGTGTATTCACGAACTATGCAACGAAGAAAAATTAATCTGAAAATGAAAACAGACTACTATTACACAAGCGACCCCTTTAAAGTCGAGCAGGGTGGTGGATGTTTGTCAAAAACAAACAACCCCATTAGAGATGGTCTTTTGGATAAAATTAACACACATTAAATGTCTGAAACGCAAAAGCTGAAGTCGGCCTTTTGTTTATTGTAATTGAATCAGTTACAACAAACTGGACAAATTATATTCTGAATGCAATTTGAAAAATTAATATTAGTCACTCAGCAAAACCCCTGAACTGAGTAAAATTAAACCAATTTAATTCAGTTTAAATTTACTTTCTATGAATTTTATAAATGTACCAACTACTACACGTTCTTTATAATAGGTCTTAAACAATCCTTAATATTTAATAACTCCTATTTTTAATGTGCCCGATCAACCTTTCTTTTGGTACAAGGGTTACTTTCTAAATAAGCTTCGTTTGTTAGTAAGTAAAATACTGTATGTAACATACAACTATTTTTTCAATATTCTATATGCTATCATCTCTATTTCCACATATTCATTATTATTCAAACTTTTGTAATACTGTTTAACAAGTTGTGGAATTCCGACGTCAATGAAATCTGCCTCTTGTGGAGTAGCCCAGTCCCTGACTGCAGTTCTTATTTCTTCGTTGTTGCTGAACCGCTAACTACCTAGAAAATTCTTTAAACATCGAAACGTGTTATAATCAATAGGAGCAAGGTCTGGACTGTAAGATGTATGATCCAGTTGTTTTCATCCAAATTAGCCTTCTTGTTTGTGCAGAAATACGGCAAAAATCGGCGGGCGACCCAAATTTTCTTAAAGTTCTACTGCTCTTCTCACAGACACACCATACAGATGGAAAAGGCGTCAAAACACGACCAAAGTCTTAAAATCAGTAACTCATACACACTGCGGCAATATCGCGGAAATCGCTCACTCCTTCACAAATAGACCGTATTAAAAAATAACCTACGCATCTACGCGTACCCTACCTTCAGGAGGGGGAGAGGGGGAATCCGTATGTAATCTCAGCACCTTCGCAACGATGAATTTCGACTACTCGGGATAGCGATATTCCCAACGCTACCGAGCGATAAGCTCGCAGCTCTCCCAACACAGGATCCCAGTGATGCTCCGAAGTACCCAGCAATTGAGCACCACAAAACTTCACAACACAATCTTCTCGATCACACAAAACACAGCACTTCAACAAAGTTGTAAAGCACTCCTTTGTATACCACCTAAAACCCTATTCATAGCAGTATCAACACAACACACGAAGTATACCGGGCCTCCAGTCATCAAAACAACGCAAACCATCAACAACCACATTACGTTGAACCGCCCTCCGGGCGACTTTTTTTTAGGATAGTTCATTTTCCCGTCTGGCGCGGCAGTCACCCCTTCGCGCCCCGCCATTGGCTGCTCCTTTTCCGCTCAGAAAATACGTCCGTTTTCGGAAGCCATTATAGTGCATGAAATAATTCATAACACAGATACTCTTTCTATATGTTTTTTCTTTACGTAATATTTCTCAAAATATTAAATTACTTTTTTTTCATAATTTATGTTATAAAAGGTACAGTGTAGGTTGGCTAGCCACAATGTGACGTCCCTCCATCTGTGAGGAGAGGAAAAGAGGGAGAGGCATAGTCGATTTACCCCTCAGTGACACTGGTGAAGAAAGCTTGGTGGGGCTGGTGACGTAAATAACAACGCCCAAAAAACTGCTCGTTTGAACAAAAGCTGTAATGAGATTTGCGACGAATGGTGTTTCACAAATAGCGGATTAAAATTTTGACTTTTAACCATTCTTTACATAAGTAAAAGAAAACTTCAACCAAGGTTTATGTGTCGTCGACTCCAAAATTTATTTTCAGCAGAATGTTAATCAAGCACCTTCAAACGGCACACTAACAATATATTTCCCCCCCTGTCCATACTCTCATTCGAAGACACTGAATGCAATTGCATAATGCCATTTTCATTTAAACTTTTGAAAATTATGTTGAAAAAAAATTAAAAAATACACATTTTGGAACCTCTCGCGCTTCGTTTAGCTGGGAGATTTTTTTAAAGGGATGTCTGAAAATTATTAGAAAAGAAATTGCAAAGATTATATTATAATCTTTGCATCTTCTATTTTAATAACACTTAAAGAAAAAATTACACGAGAAGTGTGTGGATTGAAGCACCATTAGTTCTCTTTAGTGATTGATTTATTTTATCAATCCAAGCAATATAATAAACTAAAGCACTTTTCGGTTTCCTTAATTTAATGCACTTTTCCAGCTATTTGCAGAACTTTCTGCGTCTTTTTCGGGCGCTACAAAACAAAACGGTCTGTCACCCACTGTCTAGTTATAATCAGTAAAATATCGGTTTCCCAGTCTGTGACGCCAATAAGACACCACGAATGTGGTTGTGGTAGCATGAACTGCGTCGGAACAGGACGTCCCGGAGAGACCGGCAGAGGCGCGGTCAGGAAGTAGTACAACCGCACATGTCCCGTGAACGAAGGAACGTAAACGTCATGCCTATTTCAAGCATGCATTGCGAAATGAGAAAAATATTATCAAACATAATGCACCATACATGCAGTATTTATTCACATAATTAAAACGTCACGTGCATGAAATTGGACCTCGGCTCCTCCTTGATGTCAGTGTAGTGTCTCAGGTGTGGCAGGTTCTAGGATTCGAGTCTTGACGGTGGTAAGATTATCAGCACCAGTTAGATCGCCATGGCGAATTCAGCCGCTGTCTGGAACAGACTGCTAGCTGCCGGCTGCTCTGATGAGTAGTTTTACGTGGTTTCTCTGAACAACAAAAGGCGAATGCTGGAGAAGTACCCTAACAAACAGGCCACGGACCGCGCACGATCTTACCTTCTTCTTCCTTGTTCTATCTTTACCCGTTACTTACACACGCACTTACATGCATTACACTCTCACACATGCCGGGAGATCAGACGGGAGCTTAGATCCCGTCTCGGCTGGGGCGGATCCCCGCTTGTCGGAGATTTAATGGTTGGAGAAAAATCCCGTAAGCCGACGGACAGGTCATCCTCCGGCGAGGGAAAGATGGCTGCCATCTACCGATAAAAACATACACTACGCGTAATGAACATATAACCTTAGCAGTTGATCCTCCCCACCCCCAAATCATCATCGGCGAGAATTCACTTCCCCTCCAAGTTTTAAATCTTCTAATGTATAAATTCTAAATTGTAAATAAAAAGTAAAACGTAATTTATAAAATTCATGAAGTTTTTAATTGACAGATTGCGTTCTCCAACCTAAATTATTTAAAAAGCACAGACATTTTTGTTAATTTTAAATATAACAGAAACCTACTGTTTGAAAAACACTCAAGCTGAAGTAATATGCTGACGTTTTCTCTGAAATAATCCATCAATTGATAATTTAGAACTCCCAGTTATTTAGAATTGTCAGTTCATCATATATTTCTGGTCTTTGAAGTCACATTATTTAAATCCGAAACTGAAGAGTGAAAGACATAACACTTACTCTAACTACGTTTGTCAGTCTCTGGGAAGTTCCCCCTTGGTTGTTCATATTTTAATATTTATGTTTTTGAAAAATATATTGAAATTACTTGGTGTGGTCGTAGGTAGAAGTGATGTCATACGCATTATATTAATTATTCATTTCTTTCTTGTGTCATATTAATAATATCAGCAAACCAACAGGGAAGTTGATTTTATCTTTACAAAGGAATTATAATTTTATATAATATTATGATTTTAATCCTCCTTGTATAGAATTAAATGGTCTCCTGGGCCTTTTGAGTCACAATTTAAGTCCTGTTTGATAAATAAATGATGGTTATACGTACTTATCAAAGTTATAATATTAATTTTTATAACAAGAGCAAATCATAAACAAGAGCAAAATAGGTAATGCAGGGAAACAAATGAGATCTTTCATGTCTAACTGTAATTTCTAATTCCAGGATGTTTCAGTAAGAAGAATGCCTCACACGACGAACGGAGAGAACAAAAATATTTAATTGGAGGAGTCAGACAGGTTGAACACAAATTAAAGATGCGTGTGCTGCGCTCTCTCAGAGCTTCACGAAACGAATAATCCTCTTTATGCACACATTCGTCGCCAAGTAGTGCCTAGGAAATCCGCAGGGTAAACAAACTTCCTGAAGTGTGTTTTCCCGCACTGACCGCCGCTTACTTGTTATTTTGGATTTAAAAAAAAGTCAAATTAAAGGTTTCTGTAGAATGATTCTAAATTATTCTTTTATTTTAGAAAGTTTGTTGCTGAAAATAAAATAGCCTAGAAGTTACAGCCACATGAAGAGTCGCAGACTGGAGCATGAATTATTACATTTTCCCTCAGAAAGTAACTCGAACCTTTGGTGAGATTAAATGTTCTTACGGTTTAAACCAGAAATCACTGACGTTCATTCCGATGTATTCGCCATAGAAGTTACTCTGATGGCGCCCGTTCTAATAAGTGCCACAAAACAGATTGTCATCGTAAATCCTCTAAATTATGAATGTAAGAAAATATTGTCAGAAATATTGACATAATACAAATATAAGTGTGAAGGCATATCAAGAGAATTTTTAACTGTTTATGCACGTGAAATAAATAGTACCCTAAATAAACAATGCAATTAAACATTAGACTTTTATCTTGCATTAGAAAATATTTATTTAAAATATTTATACAATATTCACATATTTTAAAATTCTTTTTTAAATTTAATACGTGTAATCATCAGAAATGTAGTACAAAACCAATTATCAATCATACTCATAGTATAAACTGTTATACAATAGCTTATTAATTATATTACTTTCCAAATATAGAGTTATACAATAGCTTATTAATTATATTACTTTCCAAATATAGAGTACGTAAGAAAGAATGGACACAGTATATGAGTGCACAACGGCCGACGAGCGTGTGGAAGCGTGGTGGATGGAATCCGAAGAAAAACTTCGTAACATCCATCAACCGTTGAAGCAACTTCTCCCGGGTGCGGCTTCTTTACGAAGGCATCCGTGAACATCGAAGATTCTTGGACCCGAACGTTCCTTCGAAAACAATTCACTTAACATCAACTTAATACTAAATTATAAATTATATCAGAAATGTGCGTTAGAATAGAAGAGATGAGAAAGGTGTATTAGAATAGAGGAGAAATAACATACATATATCGTATTTTCGCGAATCTAATGCGCAATCGAATATAATGAAATTATATTAATACGAAACGATATTTGAAACTTCAAATTTTGAAAAAAAGGTTTTGTATAAAATGAAATGCGAATCAATGACATAATAATACGTAGGCACGGTATTCTATTTTAATTTATGTAATAAAACAATGGAATTCTCGTATACATTGTAAACATTGTATCAGCATTACTGCTTTACGTTTTAATGAAGTACTATAAGACTTGCTTCTGTTTTCACTCCACATCGTAACTAAAAATCATCAATAAATGAAACGATATTGATAAATGAAAAATGAAACGATATTGAATTTGGAAACTTCAACTTATTAAATTTGGAAATCTAATTGGAAATCTAATGGAATTTGGAAACAACGATATTGAATTTGGAAATCTATTGTGACGCAATAAACGGAAAATTTGAATGAAGTTACTGGCGTCTGCGGAACGGATTTATACTCAAACCTAATGCGCACCATTTTTTGTAAAACTACATGTGGTCAAAAAAAGTACGCATCAGATTCGCGTAAATACGGTAGTTGTATCAAAGTTACGAAATTATATTTTTTCAAGCGAAGTGATTTAGCAAAGGAGTTGCCGGGTCCCGCTTCGAAAAATAGCGAACAAGCGGGGGGGGGGGGAAGATGGCAATTTTTTGAAAAAAAAAAATGCAATTAAATTTTCTTACAAACATTTTAACACATTAAAATATTTACTTCAAACCTACTTAGCATTCAAAACATCAAATGTATTGGGTTTGCATCAGAGTTGCCGGTCGGTAGAATTCTCCTCCAAACAGCTGATTTGGAACTACACTTGGATTTAAAGATAGTGGCTTTTGAGGTCACGAGCTGGACGGAAAGAGGACATTTTCATCCAATCGCAAGCTTCGTTACGACATAAATGTTTGGTATCGGCGTATCTGATTGGATGGCAATGTCCCCCTCTCCTTCCAGCTCGTGACCTTGCCGTGCTACTATGTTTAAATCGGAGTACAGCTAGTGACGCAAATGCTGCCATTGTGGGGACTCGAATCCTAGGACCTCCCAGCCAAAGTCACAGCAGGGACATCAGTATTGATGCCCTGAACCACCTAAGTCGGTAAAAGTAGAACGCAATCATATTTTCTAACAAATTTCTGTATAGGATGAAAATTAAATGCTGCCAATAAAATTAAGCACAAATCAAGAACAATAGTACAATTATAAATAGTTCTCCGTTCGTAAGAATGCTATTTATAATTGGGGTAAATAAAAACAATTTTTTCCCGTCTGTAAATCCGACTTATATTTCAGTCTTACAAGGCTTTATTTATGTTAAAATGTTAATGTAAATTAGGTCTTTCCTCACCCTTGGATAGTCTAGAAAGTTACAAAAATAACTAATACCGAGAAAAATAAATCTTCTACGTTTCATTTATATTTACCGATGATCTGTCGGGTTGAACTACATTTTCTTTTATTACTATTACCTAATATAAGGCACAAATTTATAAACGAAGTGAAAACAAAATAAACATATGATAAGGCTTGAAATACTCTTCATATCGATTGCGCCGGACTTTGAATCGATTTTCTGCACTCCAAACTGTTTCTCAAATTGTATAACAATATCGAATATGTTTTACATATGTATTTTGCGTTTACACGCCTATATCTGTTATAAAACATTGTATAATTTTCAAATGTAATGTAGGTAGTTGGATTATGTACGTTACTCATAATCAAATTTGTATTTTTTTACAGAATCAAAATTCAAAATTATTAATCAATAAATAAATCTCTTACCTCTAGAACAATCAGAAGCACTTTTTTCACAATGACGTAGAGGACCTTCATGTCTCCAAGATGATCTAAATACTATCACCGAATATTATTTGTACAATAATTGTATAATAATTTTCAATGACCTGTACGTTTGCAACAGATTAATTCTTCTGTTAGTTTCCTATTGTCTTTTTACATCAGAAATAACCTTCGAAATTATTATTTTAAAATTAATCTCTGCGTATAGGATTCCATAGTCTCTTACAACATCCCTGACAGAAAAAAAAGCAACAAGGGCACAGTACACAGAAGAAGCAAAGTACTATCGCCAATGTTCCTATCATCGTGATGGACGCGTGCTCGCGTATAACACGTGCTGAACACTTCAGCTGCGAGCACCCTGTGAGAGTGTGCGGAAAATCAGACGAAAGGAGAAATGCTAGAAACAGTTTCCGCCGGCGAGTTTAGCGACGTAACAGAGATAAGTACTTCGATAAATGTTGTGGCTGCAGGACGTGAAAAACGAAGCATTTTTGAAATAAGGGGAATTAGGGAAATATTTTTGGAAGGTCACAGTTTGCATAGCAAAGAGCTGCAGCTTTAGTTCCCTAATTTTTGTGTAAAGTGAGTTTCCTGGCCGTACAATCGGAAATTCCTCAGCGTAAGGCTTACCGCAGAGGCCCGGAAGGAAGATTTATCGAGGTTTCCGGCTCCGGGTCAATGTTTTCAGATCCGGCAGTGGCATTAAAATTTCATTTTTAAAAAATTTTGTGTGTCATTATTGAAATTAAAGCCGTAATTCAATTAAATATGCAACAGTTATAATAGTATTAAGCCAACAAAAATAAATCTCATAATCTACTTACTACGAAAGTTACTGTAGATCATACAAGGAAAATAATAAAATATATGAGAATTATGGTAGAATTTTTAATTATACTTGGAATATTATTATTACATTATGCAAAATGTATGTATACTACATACATACAAAAGTATTTTAAAGTTTAATCCTGGATTCAGTTTACAAACGATTTGAAAATTATTAATGGGTTTTTCAGCGTACTTTCTGATGTTTGCTTAGAATTCTATTGTACCATCCTTTTGTTCCTTGTTTATACAGTGAATCGTAATATAGTAATTTTATATCAGAAATTATGAGAACATAAAAACTCAGAACAGAACTGTAGGTATTAATCACTGGTACATAAACATTTCTTAATAAAACAATATATTGACAACAATACACTCAAGTGGGAAAATATTAACCTTTCTTGGATATCATGGAATTTATTTGACATTATTACAAATATTTCAGTGCCCACCTTACAAAAATGTTAAAAAAAACAAAAAACAACAAACAACAAACAATTCTACAATTTTATTTGATTATAAAAAATATATTGCTCTTATTTGTGTCAAAGATTTACTACATAATATGGACCCAATTTGCGTTTAGGCTCCAAAGAGGTATTCCGGTCAGCCCTTTCTTATTAAGCGCCTTTTTGGATAGGTGTAGTCCTCGAGTCGCTCATTCCTGAAAAAGTACATTTGTAAGTTAACAAAATTACCCAATTAAAAAGAGCGCTTTTTTTAAACAAACGTTAAATGTTGTAATTACATTACAGGTATAATTAAGAGAATGTTAGATATAAAGAAACAGTTATCTCGGGTATAAGTACTTGAAAATAAAAATTAGCAAGCAAAGTAACTGTGTAAGCACGACCACGAGTAATCCAAACTTTGAGGTTGTAGGTTTTACTGAGATACACTCAAACGTTACACGAAGAAACCCACCCAATTGCAAATAATTGCTAGCAGACATCGTGTTTTGAGATAAACGAGAGAGTTAGCAAAATGCGTCTTACCTCAGGATCAGAAGATGGATTTCCGGACGCCACCGGCTCGCCATCCCTTCTGAATCTCCTTCCGTAGAAATCCGTTGAATTTACTGCCTCCCAGAAGGGCGTCGAAGGCTTCGCTGTTGCTGTCGAGGAGAAGAACGTTTTAACCTTCTGCCACCACTGTTTTGGCTTCTCCTTGTCTTGAGATGAAAACGTTTCTCTGGTTTTGTTCCAAAAATTACTTGCAAAACCGTTAAAGGCTGTCATTCCTCTAGAAAAACTTGACGAAGACGAACTTGAGGTGCCATTGATCCCCAAGTCATTCTTCGATGTTGTATCAGAACAATCCCAGATTATCCCGTTTACGAATTTGCATTGTTTAGGTGGCGGTTTAGATTTTGATTTAAATACGTTCCTTGCCTTCTCCCACAATTTCTCCGCCACGTCCCGAACGTCGGTCGTCTTCTCCGATGGACTGAAGTCCGGGGCAGCAGCCGGAACAGCGTCCGTGCTTCGCGGCAGGTGCGAGAGCAAGATGGCGCCCACAGAGAGCAGCAGCAACACGCGGAACCTTTTCATGATGGAGTGGCTTTCGTTGAGCGCGCCCTCGATATTTCCCCGCGATGCGGACGGTGGTGTGAAGGCGCCGAAGGTCGAAGGGGCAACTGCTTCGAGTTGTGAGGGGAGAAGGAATTTACGGTAGTAGCCTGAGATTCGTCATCGAGATAAGGACAGCGATAAATTCCAGAAATCCCCAGGACAAAACGAGGCCACACCGACATGGCGTGTACTTTCTAGGTTATAACACTACAGAACAATTTTTGTTGTATAATATGATAATGACTAGTCGTAAGCAACCCCATGTTGCCCGGAGATTTCTTTATCACAATAATTTATACATCAGGAAAAGGAATTAATTCTACTTATAGTGTGCAAAGGAAGTAATTTATGTATACCCCTTCCTCTCCTCTCCGCGCCGTCCCGCGCCGTCCCGCTCGGTTCCGCACCGTCTCGTACCGTCCCGTCTCGTCCCGTGTCCTCCCACCAAGCCTCACTTCACTGTTCCGAACCGTCCCTCATTCTGCCCCGCCTCTGCC